AGCATGGACAAACCTGCCGGCGCAGGTTGGGTGCGGCCATCCGAGCGGCACGGGATGCGATCACCGACCGCCCTGCGCCCAGGCTGCCTCTGCCCTCAGCGTATGCCTGAGGAGGGCTCGTGAAATGATGTTTTCAGAGATTACCTGTTTCCTGATTTAACTCCCGCATGGAGAACACTAATTAGCAAGCCCTTTCTACCTTAGTTTCGTACTACCCACTTACAGGTAAAGTACAGTGTTTAATGAAGTGATAATAACTGAGAGCACATCACCATGGCCGAAGGGGATAGCAAGAGCTCCAACAGCACAGTGCAACAGGTGTAACAGCTCACAGCAGGCGCTCCAAATCCAGTGTCTGCCAAACCAACAGTAGACCCATGTCTTCATGACAGTTTTCTGACTGGGCCTCAGCCTCCCTAAGTTTGGAACTCAGACTCTGTACTGTAAAGGGGAGGGACCGTGGTTATCCTTGCATTTTGCTGGGTTGTTTCCATGGAAGAAATATCAATAAATGAGCTGACTTGGAATTTACCCAGAGCAGCAGATCACCAGCAGTGCATAGGGGCTGGCGGATGGGAAGGATATAAAAAGTTTGCTTAGCGCTGGAAGAGGCACATCACTACTGCTGAATAAGGCAAACTAATATATGAAAATTAGGGAAGGCAAGACACTTTTGGACCCAAAAGTGCAGACAGAACCTGTACTAAAGCTAGACTTTACTCAGTGAATTTATTCTATTCTGGTGTTTCGACCAATTCCCATGACTACAACGGATGCTAGAGATGTAACGTACATGTGGACACTGCAGGAGTTGTACTTGGAGCTGATTCACATCCTAAAGATCTGCTTCTGAACCTAAATCCAAACTATGTGTTTGGAAAAAGATAGTATGGTCCAGGAAACAATACAGACTCAACAGCTTGAAATGAAAGACCAGAGCTGAAATTCTCCAAAATGTGACAGTGTGATCTGCTCAAGAGTCCTTAACTGTGGAGAAGCATGTGGTGGGACTGTGGAGCAAGAGTTTGGCTCTGTTTCTTTTCTCTATCGCTGACTGGTTTGTGCTTTTGCTCATCTCAGGCCTTTTTTATGTTGAGGAGGGATCCACTGTGTGGCAAGTGCTTTCTGTGCAATCTGGGAGCAAAGTATTAGTTACACAGATGGTCACCGTCCAGCTGACATCCCCTTGCCAGGTGGGTGGCTCAGGGGAGTGACATCGGCACATGATAGTCCAGTCCATCCAGTTTGACACCCTGGCTCTGCTCAAAGAGCTGCCATGGCTGCTGCCTTCATGGAGGAGGCACTGGAGCTGGAGATGTGTCTGTGATTAGACATTTTGAACTGCAAGTCATCACTCATGGTGATCTTCAAAAGACCCCAAAAGTGGCCTTTACTTTCTGCATGTGCCAAGAGGCTCTTTATTCCCAGCATACTCAGGATTTCTGACCCTGGGCACCGCTGCAGCGCAGATAATGCAGTTATCTGGCTGCTCCACTGTCCTCTACCTGATCCGACCAATTAAATAGTCATAGTTTTACCTGCCCATTTACCATTATGGGTCTCTGTCCTTCTGATCTGCTCCTGAGATGGAGGCAATGGGCTTTGGAGATTACTGGTTCAGTCTCACTCTTGCAGTGCATTAGCCTGGGAATGAGGTGTACTGCAGGTACGCAGCCAGGGAATTTGGGGGAGAAACAGCTGGCAGCTGATTCCTTGTGGGTGCCACGTGGGTGCAATATTCCCTATGGCACTGTGTGTATTTGCCTCGGGCTCAGCTTGCCTTCAGCTATGGGGAAGCTAGGTGCTTCCTCTGAGGTAGGTGCCCACAGCCCACAGGGACAGAGTGTGTTTGAGAGCCGTCAGCTCCTGCCCTCTATGTCCATTGGAAGAGAAGCAAGGACAATGGTTTGGCAAAACAGCTTTCCCCATGTTTATATGAGCACTAGGTGAACACAGAGACCCCACCCGGAATACTGTGTTCAGCTCTGGAGTCCCCAACACAAGAAGGACATGGAGCTACTGGAACGAGTCCAGAGGAGGGCCACGAAGATGATCTGAGGGCTGGAGCACCTCTGCTATGAAGACAGGCTGAGAGAGTTGGGGCTGTTCAGCCTGGAGAAGAGAAGGCTCCGGGATGATCTTATAGCAGCTTTCCAGTACCTAAAGGGAACCTACAGGAAAGCTGGAGAGGGACTTTTTACAAGGGTGTGTAGTGATAGGACATGGGGCAATGGATTTAAACTGAAAGAGGGGAGATTTAGATTAGATATAAGAAAGAAATTTTTCACTCAGAGGGTGGTGAGGCAGTGGAACAGGTTGCCTAGAGAAGTTGTGGCTGCCCCATCCCTGGCAGTGTTCAAGGCCAGGTTGGATGAGGCTTTGGGCCACCTGGTGTAGTGGAGGGTGTCCCTGCCCATGGCAGGGGGGTTGGAACTAGATGATCTTTAAGGTCCCTTCCAACCCTAACCATTCTATGATTCTATGATTCTATAGTTCTGAGTCTCGTCTATGGCAGACACAACACAGCTCAGAGGCTGCCAGAGAAGCTGAGACTAAGGAGTTGGGCTTGAGTCGCTGACTTCTCTGCAAGTATCTTTTTATTGCTTCTCTAGAAGTCTTGGAAGAAATGTCTCCAAATTCCTCTAGGCCTCCAGTGCTCAGTGGCTACCAGAGCAACCCTGGCTAAGGACTGCAAAGCCATAGAAGAGGTAGAGCCTGGTCTAGGCAGCAGATAAAGATGATAGCTTTATTAGTGTTCATTTACATTATTCTTTAATTCAAGCAAAGTATTCCTGACTTTTTATGCTCTCAGTGGTAGCTGGGTTTTTTTGGGGTGTTTTTTTTCCTATTTTTTAGTGGAAGAAAGCCCTGGTACAGAAAAGTGATGAAAAGAGAGTAGCAGAAACACAGATCTTCTTTTGCATGTCTTTGTGCACTCTTGTCTGTGCATAAGCGTTTGACTGTATGTAGAGTAGTTAACTCTCCTTCTAACTGTGGTTCATTACGTGAATGCAAAAGTTGTGGTGAGACCACAGGGAATGGTGGAAACATATATTCAAATGCTATGTAAATGTTATTTACTGGAGTGCAGAGCAGGGCTGAAGACTGGCATTGCAGAGACTGAGATATCATTGGTGCTCACAGCAGACAGCACCCGCTCTGTGCCACATCCCCATCATGAGCAGGGTCTCAGTTCACACATCTGCTCTTCTGCTGCCTCTGCAGAGGTCATTGGCATGTGGACAAGGGTTCTGCATCCATTTTCACCCTGACACAATCAGAGCTTTGGAGGAAGAATAAGCTTCTGCCTTTTCAAAGCACTTGGAGCAGCAGTGCCTCCATTGGTAAGGAGCACTGCCAGCAGCGAACACTGCAGAGAATAATTTGATTATAAAGTATTTCAAGTACCATGCTATATATAAACTAACTCCTGATTGGATTTGGAGCTCCATCCTCAATGTTGGTAGTATTAGCATCAAGCCCAGATGTGTGTGGAGAAGTCAGACTCCTAGCCAGGAAGAAGGATTCAGCTGTGCTTTCTGATGGAGATTCATCTGGGGTCCACCCAAATGACCAAAATCTCTCTGACAAAGTCAGCAGGTTAACAGTGACTAGAGGGAGGACAATCAAGTCACAGCCATATCTTAGAGGTTCCCACATGAAATGTAAGGCAGTGAGCATCTGTTCTGCTCTGCTTTCTGCTTCATAAGGCCAAATACATCCTCTGTCATCCTATGTCAATACGACTTTTGCCTTTGACTTCGATGGGATCAGGGCATCTCCCACGGTACGATTTATTGGGATATCACTGGCATCCTGTGAGATAAATTCAGTAACAAGCCCATCTCGCCTGAGAGTCCACTCAGCAATTAGACTAGGGCAGTTAAACAGCAACCGGTTTTATGGATACTGTTTTCCCACATGATAATCTGTTAGTAATTAACTAATTTTTTTCTCAGATTGATTGTTGTGCCCACTTCAGAAGGAGTGAGGAGTCTCTCACTGACTTTATCACCCTTACTGTGCTGTAGCTTTCTCTCGTTAACCTCCAAAGACTCTCTCATCATATTTTCAGGTTTAAAACTGCATTCAATACCTCTGGCATGGCATAAGGCTGGTTTGAAGAGCCTGGCAAAGTGGGCAAGCCAGATGTGCATGTGGAGGAGCAAACGAAGTGGGTGTGGAGACCTGCTGAGTCAGGAGAGTCAGGGTGCAGGTTGTCTGACCTGTACTCACCCCTGTCTTTGATACCAGGGAGCCAGAGCTGGGGCACATCACATTCGTGGTTATGCTGGTAAAGCAAAATTTGTGTGCAAACCCTTGCTTTTTATTTATTTATTTTTTTTAAATTCTATTATTGTTTGTTCTATAAGATAACCTAAGGGGAAAAAAAGCATCTGTTCCAGGTCGGATCAAAAGTTGACCTAGCCTGGTAATCGCAGTGTCCGAACTGCACTCAGCAGCAGCTGTCTGGCAAACTGCAGGACAAGGGTGTAGTGACATTTCCTCTGAGCACTGTCCTCATCTCCATCCTTTTTCAGATAGTGGCCTGAAGAGCGAAGTGTCTCTAAGGAAGACCTGTGATTCTCCAGAGTTCCAGCAGATGGTGGGGTG